AACGATGAAATCCAGCCATGTGTGACAACATGGATGGACATTGAGGGTATTATGCAAAGTGAAATAAGTCAGAGGGAGAAGGTCAAATACCATATGATTTCCTTCATTAAGTAGTAGATAACAACAACAATAAACAAACACAGAGAGACAGAGATTGGATTGGTGGTTACCAGAGGGGAAGGTGGGGGGAGGGAGGAGGGCGAAAGGGCACATGTTTGTGGTGATGGGTTGTAATTAGTATTTGGGTGGTGTACATGATGTAATCTATGCAAAAATAGAAGTATAATGATGTACATCTGAAATTTATACAATGTTATAAACCAATGTTACTGCAATAAACAAAAAATTAAAGAAAAAAAGAATTCTTTAAAATGGAGATTGGGATTCTTTAAGGAAGTGTGTGTGTGTGTGTGTGTGTGTGTGTATGTGTGTTGGGAGGGTGGAAAGTTGGATGCCAGGCACTCAAAAGGATTACAAGTTTCCTCTCTATTTATTCTGTAAAATGCAGGAATTGAATGAAACAATCTCAAAGATAAGATAATTTGGACCAAATCTTATGGTGGAGTCATAGTTGATTGGCTAACTCAACTCCCATCCATTCTCAACCCCATCTACCTTGTTTGCTTCCATTATAGAGGCAGGAAAATCCAGAAACTTGCTTTTTTTTTTTTTTCTTTGCTTCTCTTAAATATAAGGGCACAATCTGGCCTTTGATGTATAACTGGAAGTTGGGGCTTGTTAGGAAAAGTTTTATTTTGCTTTCCTCTTAAAAGGGATGGATGCCAGTAGTATCCTCTGGGAGGATTTCCTGTGTTTCCCGCCATGAACGCAGATGCGATGGCAGGAATTATGACAGCCATCTTGTCAACATGAGGCAACAGGCTGATGAAAGTCTTACACACTATGATGGAATAGGAAGATAGAAAGATCTTGGATGTATATTTTTGAGCTGCTGAACCATCTCCACCTTTAAATTTCTTGTTACGTGAGAAAACAATCTCCTACTTCTAAAAGTCAATCTTTTTATTTTTCTGTTATTTATATTTCTATTGTTATTTCTATATATTCAATCAAAGAATTCCTAACTTCAACATCTTACATGTATTATACACAGTTAGTGAGGGAAGAGATTAATGTAGGGCTATAGTAGACAGAGATGTTATTCTTTTTAACTAGATTTCTCTTCCTTCTGACTTCTGAATGACCAAATATTGCCCATTCTTTATGGCTCAGCTTAAATGCCATATTCTTTACTAAATGTATGATTCCGTTTATCCCATTTCCTGCATCTTTCCTCCCCACCTTGTAAACACTATCCTGAATCTTGTGTTCAATCTTGCTTTTCTTCTTTTTTTAAAAATAGTGCTAGTCCATCCACTTGTATTCCTAAAAAGTCTATTTTAATTTTAATTGCTTTGAACTTGACAAAAATAAATCTTTACATGTATAATCTTTTGGATTTACTTTGTTTTGGTTAATATTATATTGCTAAGATTCATTCATGTTATCGTGTGCCTTAGTTATTGATTGCTGTCTAACAAATTACCCCCAAACTTGGTAGCTTAAAACAGCATACATTTAGTACCTCACAGTTTTTCCTGGTCAGGGATCAGGACACAGGTTAGCTAGATCTTTTACTTCAGGGTCTCTCAGGAGGCTACAATCAAGGTGTTGCCTGGGGCCATAGTTATCTCAAGGTTCAACTGGGGCAGATCTGCTTCTGAGCTCCCTCAGTGGTTGTTGGCACAGTTAAGTTCCTTGTGGGCTATTGGACTGAGGGCTTTGGTTCCTTACTGGCTGTTGGCCAGAGGTTGCCCTCTGTTCCTTGAAAAGTGGCCCTCTCCATCATAGCACATGAGAAGAGCCAGGGAGAAAATACCAGCAAGACAAAAGTCATCTGTGGGAACCGAATTATGGAAGTGACATCCCATCACTGTGGCTTTATTCTCTTCCTTAGAAGAAAGTGACTATGTCTAGCCTGCATTCAAGGGGAGAGAATGACACAAGGGTGTGAATACCATGAGGTGGGGTGAGGGGCATTGAGAGTCATGTGAGAAGCTGCCTAGCACATGGTATATCCCTTTAATTTATTCATTTTAACTACTATATACTATTCTGTGTGGATATGCCATAGTTTATGCTCCTATTCATGGGCATTGGCCCCCTGCCCCCCAGGATTTTTGCTGTTATGAACAGTGATGCTACAAACACTCTTATACATATGAGGGGACCATGCTACTCTTCTCTGAATCATTCCTAGTTTAATATGTGTTCTGCCAGTGTGAGCACTATTGAGACTTCCTTGATTAATTCTACCTGGAATTAATCTCCTCCCTTCTAAACTCCCATAGCACTACATCTCTTATGATACTTACCACCTGTCACCTTTTACTACACTTATTTTGTGCATGTCATATTTTCTCCTTCGAAAAAGTAAGTTGTCAAGGGCAGGAAGTAAATTGGATTCTTCTTTGTAATTTACATGGTGTCTACACAGCACTTAGTATATTAGTAAGCTTTCAGTAAGCGTTACTGAGTGAATGAAGTCTGTCTAAATGTCAGTGCCTAATTTTAAAGGTCTTAAATCTGGCTCCAATGATCCAACTGTGTTTGTCACGTCTCCCGAACATGGACCCGTGTTTACGCAGGTGAATCTCTTTAACCTGCTCTTTCAATCTTTTCCTAATGAATTTAGCCCACATTGATCTCTTTCTTCTCCTGTTCCTATTGAATTTACTGTTTACATCACACATTCAGCATTTTAGTATATATTCAGGTAGTGTATTGACTTATAGTAGGTGCACAATAAACTTTATTGATTGAATGGATGAAGTATCTTATTTTATAATTATTTTCAGCCAGTTAAGTATTTTCATCCCATCTATATTGTCAGTTGACTGATCAAATAAATAAATAAACATTTATTATTACTGATTTGTTTGAGTAGATTTCTATTACTTTTTGTTTTTGTCTTAGATATTTTTGGAGTTAATGGAGTCAGAAGGACCCCAAGAGTCAGAGAGTTCAGAAAAATCAGTGTTTTTCTCACAGAAAGAAGAAGAAGATGAAGAAGATGAAGAAGAAGCCAAAGAGCCAGAGGAAACAGGCACCTTGAATCCCCTCTTACAACCTGCTCTAACAGGAGATGTAGAAGGTTTGCAGAAGATTCTTGAGGATCCTGAGAACCCTCATCATGAACAGGCCATGCAACTACTCTTGGAAGAAGACATTGTTGGGAGAAATTTGTTGTATGCAGCTTGCATGGCTGGGCAAAGTGATGTGATTAGAGCTTTGGCGAAATATGGTGTGAATCTGAATGAAAAAACCGCCAGAGGTATTTTGTCTTTTTTCTCTCGTCAGTATTACCTATGACTACCTAAAGATGCTAGTACTATCTTTAAAGTTGGATAAATTTGATTTGCCTGCTTTATATTTTGCATTTATTGTATATGTACACATATACATGAATGTATGTGTGTGTATACATGTTGATATAGTATAGCATAGTAGTTAAGAACAGAGACTCACTATTTGTTAACTGTGTGACTTGGGCAAGTTACCTAATCTTTTTGTGTCTTTGTTTCTTCATCTGTAAAATGAGGTTAATAATTGTATTTTCCTAAGGGGTGTTATGAGGATTAAATAAGATAATAAATATAAATATCACAGTACTTGGCACGTAGTAAATTGGTATACAGTAGATGCTCAGTAATATCGTTATCTCTTTCCTTTGAAGATTTATTAGTTTTTGCAGTCATTATCTAATTAGTTCTTTTAATTCAGTGACTTTTTTTTTTCAAGTTGCAAATGTAATACATGGTCATTGTAGAAAATAAAAGAAAACAATGATCTTTAGCAAATAGGGAATATACATTTTCTTCACACTCACATGAAACATTTTTAAAAATTGATGTTAGGCCGTGAAGTCTTAGCCAATATCAAAGAATCTGTAGCATGCAGTCTTTGGTCTCTGACCACAATAAAATAAAATTAGAAAATAGTAACAAAAAGATGACTGAAATCCCCTATAATCTTGGAAACAAAATGCTTTAAATCATCTGTTGGTCATAGACAATATAATAGGAATTATGAAGTATTTAAGTGGCAACAGGATCACTATGTCAGAACCTGTGGAATACAACTAAAATTAAAATTCTAGTTTAATGCATACATTAGAATATAAGAAACACTGAAAATCAGTAAGCAAAGCATTTAACTCAAGGAGTTAAAAAAAGAACAACTGAGTAATCCAAAGTAAGTAAAAGAAAATAAATAATAAAGTAAAATAATGACACTGAAAATAAAGAAACAATAGAGAGGATGAAGAAAACCAAAATATGGTTCAGTGAAAAAGACAGAATTGAAAAACCTTTGATAATATTTGATAATTTTTTATATAATGTCAGAGAGAGAGCATAAATAATATTTGGAATTTTAAAAGTGGAGCATTTGCATAGGAAAGACTAAGATTTAAAAACATTATTAGAAAATGTTATAGAGCTGGCCCTGTGGCTTAGCGGTTAAGTGCGCGCACTCTGCTGCTGGCGGCCCGGGTTTGATCCCAGGCGCACACCGACACACCGCTTCTCTGGCCATGCTGAGGCCGTATCCCACATATAGCAACTAGAAGGATGTGCAGCTATGACATACAACTATCTACTGGGGCTTTGGGGGAAAAAAATAAATAAATAAAATTATAAAAAAAAAAGAGGTAAACATTTAAAAAAAAAGAAAATGTTATAAACAACTTCATGACAATTGAAAACTTGGATGAAATGGATGATTTTCCAATAAAATATAAATGACCAAAATTGATTCAAGAAAGAATTAGAAATCTTGACTATAACAATGGTTATTTAAAAAAATAGATTAAGTAATCAAAATTTGCCTCCTTTCCCCACTCCCACCTAATTTCAGACTCAAATTTTTTTTTTTGTTTTTTGTTTTTGTTTTTATTCTTTTTGTAAGGAAAATTGGCCCTACGCTAACATCTGTTGCCAATTTTCCTCTTTTTGCTTGAGGAAGATTGTCCCTGAGCTAACATCCCTGCCAATCTTCCTCTATTTTGTATATGGGACACTGCCACAGCATGGCTTGATAGGTGGTGTGTATGTCTGTACCTGGGATCCGAACCTGCAAACCCCAGGCCGCCGAAGCAGAGTGCGCAAACTTAACCACTATGCCACCGGGCCAGCCCCAGACTCAAATGTTTTTAAAGATAAGGTCTACTAACACTTTAAGGGAAGGGTGATCTGTAGCTTATGCAAATGTTCCAGAGAAGGAAAAGCTGCTTAATTTATTTTATGAGATATAACTTTCATAGCAAAACTAATTAAGGACAGTACTAGAAAGGGAAATTATAGGCCAATCTCATTTAATACCATAGATGCAAACATCTTAAATAAAATATTAATGAATCTAAGATTCTGTATTAAAAAATTTGTTGGACTAGGTTGGGTTTATCCTATCAACTCAGGATGGTTTTTTTTTTTAATTTTTTATTTATTTTTTTTTATTGCAGTAACATTGGTTTATAACATTATATAAATTTCAGGTATACATCATTATATTTCGATTTCTGTATAGGTTACATCATGTTCATGCAGGATGGTTTTGACATGAGAAAAAATATTAGTATAATTCACTACATTAAAAAATTAATTGAGCAAACCACATGATCATCTCAATAGATGTAGCAAAGTCTTTTGAAAAAAATGTAGTACTCATTCATGATCAAAGTTCTTAGGGAGATAGGAATAGAAGAAACTTTCCTTGAGGCTCTCTATCAAAAGCCTGAAGCAAACTTACCTGGTATTGGATCTTTAGAAGCATTCTTTAAAGTCAGAAAAAAGACTATGATATTCACTATTATGGCTTCTATTCATCATGATAGTGGAGGTCCTAGCAAGTGCAGTAAGACAAGAAAAATAAATAAGGGAAATACCACAGTACTGTGTTGGAGCTGACTTTTACCAGGTCTTGTGAGTTGAATGTTAAATTTTCAAGAGTTTTGTGAATTGGTTGATATCACATTGGTATTGTCAAGCTATTGGTGGCTTGAAGTTGGCCATACTAGGAGTACAGACATCATGGAAATTGGCTAATAGTACAAATCAGGGCTTTCCCTTCAAAGAACTGTTTGTTAAACATTTACCAGCACATTAATGGATATAAGGATTAGAGTGAAAGAAACACGACTCTCATTATTCATAGGCACATAGATTTAAATCCAAGGGTATCTACTAACTATTGGTACTAACAGAGTTTAGCAAGAATATGAACATAAGATCAATATCCCAAATCAGTAGCTTTCTATATACCATCAACTATCAGAGAATGTAATAAAAATAAACATCTTATTCACAACAAACCTATAAAGAAATTACGAATAAATCTGACAAAAGAATTGCAAGACATTTATAGCAAAAAGTATAAAACCTTATTGAATTACATAAAGAAGACCCAAATTATATCTGTTTCAGATGGTGAACTGAAATATGGTAAAGATGGCAATTTCTTCCAAATTAATTTATCAATCTGGTTTATATCCCAGTTGGTTTTTTTTTTAATGCAAACTGAGAAGCTGACCCTAAATTTCAGTGGAGAAATGATGAACTATTTAATATATGGAGAACATTGGTTATTCATCTGGAAAAAAAGTTAAAATAGATACCTACATTGTACCATGCACAAAAATCAATTACCAGTCCATGCAAGATATGAATTGGAAAGCAAAATTTTGAAACTTTCTGAAAATAAATAGAGGAGGATTGTAATATTCTTGAAATTTTATAGGATTTCTTAAAATGAGTCAGAAGAACATAACCGTTAAAGGATAAGACACCATTAAAAGATAAGACCCAGACTGGAGATGTTTGCAATACCTTCTCAACTGCCAAACAATATATCTATATAAGGACAGCCTACTAATAAGAAGAATTCATCCCAATAGAGGAATAGGGAAAGGATAGGCGCAACCAATTTATGGAAGAGAAGCTCTCATGGCCAATAAATATGTGAAAATGTGCTCAACTTCACTATTAAAATGCAAATTTAAACAATGAACTACCACTACTCATCAGATTGACAAAAATTTAAATATCTGACAGCATTAAGTATTGGTGAAGAAAAGGGAAATGGGAACTCTCTTAGTCTGCTGGAGGGAGTGGAAGTGTAAATTGGTACAACCACTTTGAAGAGCATTTATACAAAGTTACAAATAGACATACCCTATGATCCAGAATTCCACTTCTAGATATATATCTTTGACAAACTCTCACACATGTTCACAAGGAGACATGTCCAAGTATTATTATTCAAGTATTGTTTGCAGTAGTGAATAATTGGAAATAATCTAAAACAATAGAGAGATGGGTAAATACATTATCATCTATTCATACAATGGAATATTACACAACAGTTAAAAGGAGTGAACTAGCTCTTTGGGTATAAAATGGATAACACTCAGAAACATAACATTGAGACAAAAATCAAGGAACAAAAGGATTCTATAATGGATTGGTTAATACTATCGATTTTAGAGCCTGGGTTCAAATAGCATCGATTTTAGAGCCTGGGTTCAAATCCTAGCTTTGCCACTAACTTAGCTATATGACTTGGACAAATTATATAATCTTTCTATGCTGCAGTTTCTTTATCCATAAAAATAGGAATAATAGTAATATCTAAAAACCATACTACATAAAATAAAAGGAGAGCCCCAAATCAGTATATGACAGTGTGCCTCCAACACTGTTCAAGGGAGGTGATGTTCTGACTAGTTGACATGAGTATTGCCATCCTTTTGTTAGGTATTTTCCAATGTGTGGAGATAGGTGTACAGTCTTTCAGAGTACTTTTGATGAAGTACTCCAAGATAATCCAATTCTTCACTCTGATTTCATGCTCACCACGAAATCTTCTCATTTAGCAGACGAGATTCCCAAGTAAGTGTTCAAGATGCATCCTGGTTTCTTCTTGCTACATATAACAAAATGCCAGAGGAGAGAGATATATTGAGATAAGGACTGGTAAATGAAAAGGAACAAGGACTTGATGATTTGGAAAATTCTAAGCTCATCTAGATAGCAAAGACATTAAAATTAAGAGATTCTGGGGCCGGCCCGGTGGCGTAGTGGTTAAGTTCATGCACTCTGCTTTTGTGGCCCTGGGTTCGTGGGTTTGGATCCCGGGTGCAGGCCTACACACCACTCATCAAACTATTGCTGTGGCAGCATCCTACATACAAAATAGAGGAAGATTGGCACAGATGTTAGCTCAGGGACAATCTTCCTCACCAAAAAAAAAAAAAAAAATTAAGAGATTTACTGTCAGAAAAGCATACTCTAGAGAAGAAGCTGAGTGTCTGACTCTACAACCCTTTGTTGACATGTTGGAAAGATCAAAAGGTCATAGTATTTAGGCACAAGAGATTAAGGGCATGGCTGAGGGTATCCCTTTAATCAAACCAGGGAGCATCTAGAAACTTAAGGGCATTGTCCCTCAGCCATCTCAGCAGAAGCCAAAAATAGACAAAGGGATATGTCAAAAGAATTTGTGAACCTGGCTTCTGTCTAATGGAGTGAATCAAATCGCTTTCACTTCCATGGGAGACCTATAATTTCTTGAGAATTTTATAACAGCAGAAACACTGCCAGCTTGCACTGAAAGGGACAGAGAGAGTAAAAATGAAGGAAGGCTGTTGGACCCCCAACATTCTACTATCAGGAAGCAGGCTGACAAACTATTCAGCTGCAAACATGTGCTACCTTTCGTGAAAAAGGAAGGACAGCTCAGAGGGCTGAGAGCTCAGAGGATGAAGCCAGGAGCCCAGAAGGCAGAGCTGAGAGCCATGGAGAACTATCCCCAGGTTTTGAAACCTAATGGAGTTTACCTGGCTCAATTTCACAACTCCTTTGGACTGCCGACTATGTTTTACCTTCCATTTTCCCACTGTTTGAACCAGAATGCCTATATCTTTTATCCTATACCTATCCCACTGCTGTATGTGGGAGAACACAACTTGTTTCTTTAATTTCACATATCCACAGACGGAGAGGAATTGTGCCCCAGTAATTATGTTTAATGGATTATATCCAGAGCCTCATCCACACATGTTTTAGATGATTTTGATGATGAGATTTGAGACTTTTGAGCTGATGACATTTAGATGAGATTTTAGACTTTGAGTTGATGTTGTAATGAGATGAGACCTTTGGGACCTTGGGCTGGATTGAATGTATTTTGCATATGGGAGGGTTGTGAATCTTTGGGGGCCAATAGGTGGGCTCTGGTAGGTAAAAAAAATAGCTCACTCCAAACATGTCCATGCCCTAATCCCTGGAACCTGAATATGTTACATTACTTGACAAAGGGACTTTGCAGGTGTAAGTAAGATTATGGACTTTAAAATAGAGAGATTAACCTGGATTATTCAGGTAGTCCCAATCTAATTACATGAGCCTTTAAAAGCAGAGAAGTTTCTCCAGCTGGGGTTAGAGGAGATTTGGCAAAAGAAATCAGAGAGGTTTGAGGCGTGAGAAGGACTCTTGTGGTTGCTGGCTTGAAGGTAGAGACAATGAGACGAGGAATGCAGGCAGCCTTAAAGAGCTGAGAGAGGCTTCTGGCTCACAGCCAGCAAGGAATCAGAGACCTCAGCCCTCCAGCCTCAAGGAACTGAATTCTGCCACCAGCCTGAATGGTCTTGGAAGCCGACTTTTCTCGAGTCTCCAGATAAGAGCCCAGGTTGGCCAACACCTTGCTTTTAGCCCTCTGAGACGTAAGCCAAGGACTCAGCTGAACTATGGTGTACTTAGACTTCTGACCTACAGAGCTGTGAGATAATAAATGGCTGTTGTTTTTAGCTGCTGAATTTGTGGTAATTTGTCTTGGCAGCAAAGAAAACCAATGCAGAAATCTTCACAGCTACATCTTCTGATGCTATTTGTTTCCAATGTACACTTTTTAATAGGGAAAGGAATGAATCAAGCAGTACATTCCATGAAGACAGTTCTCTAATGGAAAGTATGCATGAACTGGTCAACCTAATTATACCAATCAGTTTGGCAATTGTTTTAGTTATTACTGAATCATTTAATCAATAATGAATTACATTAAAGTTTAGCAGTCAATTTCTTGTTTGGTTGGTATGATTCAGTTCCCATGAGATTGTTCACTTGAGAGAACAGATCAAATCGAGGGTGTGTGTGTGTGAACATTTAAGTTCTACTCTCTTAGCAAATTTCAGTTATACAATGCAGTTATCAGCTGTAGTCACCATGTTATATATTAGATGCTCAGGCCTTATTTATCTTATAACTGAAAGTTTGTACCCTTTTACTAACCTCTCCCTATTTGTCCCACCCCGAAGCCCCTGGCAACCACTTTTCTACTGTTATGAGTTTGACTTTTTTTTTTAGATTCCACATACCATGCAGTATTTGGCTTTCTCCATCTGACTTATTTCACTTAGAGTAATACCCTGCGGGTTCATCCGTGTTGTTGCAAATAACGGGATTTCCTTCTTTTTTTAAAGCTGAATAATATTCACTGTGTGTGTGTTTGTGAGCACTAGTGATCTATTGGAGCATAAGAAGCCATTGGCTTAGAAGTAAAAGACTTTTAGATGAAGAACTGCAGTATAGATGTTTCTATAAAAGATGTTTGTCATTTATTTGTGGATGATACTCAGGTATAGGAATAGGAAGGAAGAAAAATGGTTTTCAAGGTTATTGATTATTCATGTTTGCATTCAGGATTTCCTTTCCTTTTAAATACTGGAGAATTGGACACTTTTGATCCAAAGGAGGGAAGATGAAACAGTTCTTACAGTCTCAGCTCTCTGTACTCCTGACTTCTGGCCCCTTGGGAAGTGCGTTGTTTTCTGAATGAGCCGAGGAGAGGCCTTTGCAGTTTGCAGTTTATTGATGATGGAACCTCCTCTGGTTCTGACAAGGCTTTGGTCACTAAATCTGGCCATACTCAAACAGGCATGATCAGAACTAATTACTGTTTTCAACTCTGTCTTTCCATACAACCAGCAAATGTTTATTAAGGGTGGAGGAATAGCCAGGCCTTGTGCTGGGAACTGAGGGTAGAAAGATGAATGAATTCAGCCTTGGACAAGTTCACAGTTTAGCAGAAAACAGATATGTGAATAAATAATTACTTTGTGGTAATTATGGTGGGTACAGGGATAGCTAAGAGGAGAGATAAGTCCACTTTACCTGGAAGTGTTGGACATGGTCAGGGAAGGTTTCACAGAGGTGGCAACATTTATACTGAGTCTTGAAGAATGACCAAGAGTGACCAAGGGTTTACCAGACAAAGGAGAGTTGAGGGATAGGACGTGGCAGGCAGTATAGTAATTGCAATATCAGATTTTAGTGTTACAATATTGCTGGTATTCTGCTATATTTACCCACTATTTTAGGTAACTTAAATACTGGTCTTTTTATAATTATAATAGTATTATTTGGTATCCTAAAAAATATGAAATCTGAGTCATTTATGGGTTGAGAACAATATCAATGATTTAATTGCTCAATGTATACAAAAAGACAAACTGAAATCTACAAATTTAGATGGCCCATATTGTGATATTGCAAAGTTTCTGTTGTAAAAATAATGCTTAAGTTCAAAAACTTCCCAAACAAGTAGGATGTAAATCTCATGGTCTTGAAATTGATCAGGAAATTGAAATGAAATCTCCTTCAGTACATAAGGAAACTAAAAAAACCAAAAAGGACAAATATGAACCAGCAATGTTTTCTTTGGGGAAAAAAATTACAGCTTATTCTCAATAAAAAGATTCCCTACCAGCAAAAAAGCTGTTCAAAAATATCTTTGTCTCTCTTTTCAAATTAGAGATGAAATAATTTGAAGGGAAATATTTGGTGTTAGTTTATAACTACTTCCAAAAATGTTGATTGAGAAAAACTTCAATAGCTGAAAAAATTTGTACAAAAATATCCTGGTGATACCATTGACACACTTTAAAAAAAAGCAAATAATGTATCATTTGCAATTTTCATGATTCATTACATTTTCTTCATTGTTATAGTGTTTGGTTTTTTATCCTTAATTTTTATTAGTTTTGTCTGACAATTTATATTGCTAATAGAATGACAATGTATAAGTAACATTTCTATTTGATTGTTATGCTTTTGTTTGATATTTTATCTTTATACATTTTCATATTTAAAATGCATTAAATAGTTTCAGTAATTAAAAAGATAAATTCTGAATGTAGTTTTAAAAATAACAATATTAATACTAAGTAAACATAAAATTTATACTGGTATTATTTTATTCCGCTATTGTAATTACTGTTTCAGGCAGAAAAAGACAGCATGTATGCAGTTATCAGAGGCTTGAAATAACATGATTTAGGGAATTCAAAGAGCCTGGCACTGCAGGTGGTAGGCAAGTTGTGAGAAATGTTCTAGATAGGTAAGGATTTTTGCTCCATAGCCTGTTACTTGTTCTTGACTATCATCATCTCAGTTCTTGGATTTTTGACTTTATATTTGACCTTTATTAATTTATAGCAACCTTGAGAAAAGTACTTATCCTCTTTGTGCTTTTGTTTCCTTATCTATAAATGAGAACAATACAGTGCCTACTTCATAGGATTATAGTGAGGATTAAATGAGTTGATACTTGTGAAACACATAGAACAATGCCTGCGTAGAGGAAAAGATTCCTTTTCTTCTTGTCTGATCTTTTGCTTTACTATGAACTACCTGTTCAGTTGACTCTGTGTTTAGTAACCAGTAGTCTTCCACAAAGAGGTTATTTTTCTCTTAAAATCAACCTCAGTCCTTCCCAGTTCCATTTATGGTTTCTTTCTTCCTGCTGGGATTTCCATCATGTAGCCTCCTGTGTCCCTTCCTGGGATCCAAAACTCATTGCCAATGTTATAGAGAACTCTGGGAAAATCTTTTTC